TTATGGAAAGTGTACAGTCTGATATCTGAACGACATAAGTATATATGAAATGGGTTTGTGTACTTATGCTTAACGTTTCATAAAATAAATACTCAACCTTAAAAATGACTCGCAATAAATGTCTAAAATGGATTTTGTTCTATGACGTCAAACGACGACAGAGTGGCCATATACGTATATACCGTATTTCCTCTATTAAGCGCCGGGCCTCAAATAACCGCCGGGGATAAAGCAGTGCTTTAAGAAATAAGCGCTGGGCCTCTAATAAGCGCCGGGTATAGACCTTTGCATTTTTTCGCAAATGTATTCTCTTGGTCTAAAAATAAATATATTAAGGAATGGTCCTTTAAATTATAACTTCATGTACTCATCCCCGCTTTTAAAAATACAGGGTATTTTACTTAGCGCCGGGTCTGGAGGTCCGTTGAAAAAGTAAGCGCGGCGGGGGTGGGGTGGGGGTGGGGGATTAGGTGGTGCAGGGGAAATACGGTATACAGATAATGAGGCATAACTCCTATATGCTAACACCATTTCAATGTAACTCAGGATACTTGGATAGAATTTGTTGTGGATATGGACGCTATATTTTCGTTACGGTTTGTTAACCCTGAACCAAATTATTCCAATACAAAGTTTCCCAATGTGAGTGGATACGTTTTGGTAGTTTCACAATTTATAAGAAAGATGACAACGTACTACATGAAAAAAGAAAACCAAATAGCGATTTTGATGGCCCTATCCGATATGTAAATTAGCCCTTAGATTCCCATATTCTCCTGTTTGTGTAGATGTATTTTGACTAATTTGGCATCATTAGTAACAGAGTAATAGTCATATCTTCAAATTTAATGAAATTGCTGAAAATAATACAACCACTGTATGCGGAAGTATTTTGTGACGCACAGTTTTACATTATCTTAAAAGTGAACGTTGTATTGGATCTATGGTCCTCCGACTATCACATTATGTTCAGAGGTATCTAAATCTAAATGCTACACAGTCTAAGAACTGAATTGTGATGATTTGTTTACATTTTACACAAGTACAGTTTGCACCGCCTTTGTTTCCACACCTTATCTTTATTCCTCGATTTCATATAACCACTTCGTACTGATGACAAGACCATATTGCTTAAAAAGCCTACCCATGTTGATTGATGAACAAAGAGTTTGCCGCGGTGTTGATGCATCGCATCAAAAAATTCTTGTTGCTGTAATAAAGTGTCTACAGGACAAATTCTGTATTTTCTCAGTTGATAATTCAATACCTATATATCGCCACTAAGTATTATTGATTCGTTTTCAGACTTACTACTGATTTTGTGCCAATGTTGGCGCACCAAACCGCTCTAAAACACACTTTTCTAACGTCATCTGCGAGGAAAGTTTGGAATGCGTGTTTGGTATGCGTGGCTCGACCGATGTCCATATGTAAAATTACCTGCATAGTTTTCTCGTTCATACATCAGAGATGATTTTATTCGCTCACAGTTTTCTGACAAGCTTATAATAAAAATCTTTGTCGCGTAGGGAAATTAGGGTGTGTATTTGAAAAGCGACGATCCTTTCACGCAAATAAAACGAATATTTACGTTTATTATTATTTCTCGTGAACATTGACATCAAATACGTAAAATAACAGAAAGTAAGAATTTTGATCAAGAAGTTCCCAAGACATTTTAATTTTCAAAGGTCTTTCCAGCGCCTGCATGACAGGGATTTTTAAAATAAAGGATACAAAATGTGGTTTGGCCGTCGAAGGACAGCGCAGCCGTCTAAAAATAGCAACCAATAGAAAATGACATAACATTGTCAATGTTGGTTTTTCGTAGGCCTTCATAGCCATCGTCTCTTTAACCTGTACCGGCTCGTGTATATTGCGATATGTGAGACGGGGCCCAGCTGGTTCCCGTTCGTTCAGGTAAGAGCTGCGTCACAGAGCGGGCTTGACGATGCGTAAAGAGAACCGGGAACCATCTTAGCAAGCTGGGCTACCGTCTCTCACATTGCAAGTTGGCGACGTGCATAGACCAGCTCGAACGTTTGACGCCTTCGTGACGCCCGGATCTCTAGGTTTAGGCGTCATGGGGTGACCAGACAAATTGCCTGAACTCAATACCATCGAGCACGTATGGGATGCTCTTTGAAGAAGTGGGGCGGTGGGGTAGCGTAGTGGTTAAAGCGTTCGTTTGTCACGTTCGATTCTTCACATGGGTACAATGTGTGAAGTCCATTTCTTGTGCACCCCGCTGTGATATTGCTGGAATGTTGCGTAAAGCAGCGTAAAACTGAACTCACTCACTTTTGGAAGAAGTGTTCACTTTTGTTAGGCAGTCACTGATACAACGTACGTTAATAATAGAAGAATAATACAGCTCTTTATAGGGCTTGCTCATAGCGCTACACAAAATTAAAATACACTGCAGTAGAGGTGCTACATTTTCTCTGTTAAATCAATCTTTATAGCACTTTTGAAAGAGATACGTCTTCAGGCAGCTTTTAAAGATTGTCAGTGATTGGAATTTGCACTTGCCGTTGTGAACGCGAGAGGGGGCGAACGTGGTACTGAAATCGAACAAGCTCCTGCATCTAATTCTATATTTGTGTGTTTTATCAGGGAGAATAGAAGAATATAAACTGGTGTAGGAGCTTGTTCGATTTTGATACCCCTCTCGGGTATTCTAACCTGTAGGTTATCATGGTTTTAAGCATAAAGTGACACATGTGAAGTTTCTTTTTCTGTTTAGTATAGAACAGTTTTGTTGTTTTGCATAAGTTTTGTTACGATTCAGCAGAGGTAGTTAAGTTACTATAGTTACTGTGAGGGAAGACTGAATCGGAAGCATGGGGCGGTATTCTAAAAAAGTCAAAGTGACTAAAAGTTTTGTTGTCGCGTCGATAGCATGATTCCGTCCAGTTAATGGCTGTATTTGTGCTCCAACAAGTTGCAATAAAAATCTAATACCTTGTTGGTTCAGTCTGTATCTCTGAAGAAGTTCCTCATGACGCATATCACTGAATCTGTTTGATCTTGGCAAATAAACACGCTGTGCGGCAGCCATCTTACTTACAGATTAAGTTGAAATCCTATAGTTAAGCCTTCATGGATGCAGTCTTAGGAAATAAGTCCAAAAACAATAAAACTTAAGTCCTAAAACCTTTATTGAATATGACTAAGAAAAAACTAGTGACTTAAGACAAAACTTAAGTTTTTTAAAAGAACTTGTCATTTCCCATAGACTTAAGTTTTTTTAAGGACTTAAGACTTTTTTAGAATACCGCCCATGGTCTGTGCAACATCTGTCAACATCAGTCACTTTTGTCATACCCGACAGGGGCGGATACAGCTTTTTGAGGAATAGGTGTGTGTGTGTGTGTGTGTGTGTGCGTGCGTGCGTGTGTGTGCGCGTGCGCACTCTTGAGAAAAAAGGGGTCTTCAGCAACCCATGCTTGTAGTTAAAGGGAACTTACCATATCGGATGGTCAGGTTCGCTGACACATGTTATCGTATCCCAACTGACCGATGCTCATGATGTTCATCACTGGATTGCCTGGTCCAGATTTGATTATTTACAGACTTCCGCCATGTAGCTGGAATATTGCTTTGTGCGGCGTTAAACAACAACCAACCGACCTTAATTCCAGCAGTACTTAACATTACTGAACACTCGAAAATTAGATTATAACCTGTTTTAAACAATAATAATGATGTAATTATTACAGGCTGTCCACCTTACAATCATGTCCAAATGTATATTTCTTCAAGCGATTTCCAGAATCGCAAGTATTTTCTTCCCGAATTCGCAATTAAATAAAATTTAATTTCAGCTGTAATGAAATAGATACACAAAATGACTTTAAAATATATCTGAAACTGAAGAATTCAAGGAGAATCCTATCAATATTAACTGTAGGTGGAGACTACGATCTGTCTGAACTTGCATGTAACCTTGTTGCTATACACCTGGTTGAACGTGAAATAAATTTCTGAAACAAACAAACAAACAAAACCAAACAAACAAACACAAACATACACACGAAAGTGCAAATGATGAATTTCACACATCGAACAAATGAAAAGCTCCAGTCTTCTCGCATGATTACGACAAAATAAGTTTAGTTAGAGTTAACAAATTTATTGATACATGAGTCAAAGGTACAAATATATATGCAAAGTATCAATAGCGGAGAAAATACACAAAAGATCACTTCCATAGTGAAAAGCAAGAAACAAAATCTAGATAATTAATCCAGATACTTACACAGGAATGTCTTTCTTGTGTGTAGTAAGTCAAATTGATACGTCAATATTAAATAACAATGAGTCAAGTTGGTTCTATTCTGCAAACATGAATTCAAATCTACACAAATGTTGGTGGAAATACATACATATGGTGTAAGGCTGTTAGGAATTATACTCACTTTTTTTGTTATATTTTGAAATAAAAGGTTGGGTAACAATTTAAAAAGTTGTTTTGATTTGGTCACCTTCATGTAGGTTTGTATAAACACATAACATGGCCTTTTAAATGCAGTAGGCTGAAAAACTGGTAATGCGATTTTAAACTGAAATTCACTCAAATTTGTTTGCATAAATACAAACAAATCGTTTGAACTTCTCAGAGTCCTTTTTCCACCTGTGTCAAATACTTTCTGTGACTATAGGAATATCATTCCTTGACTGACGGATTAAGATCAATTTGCGAGAGACGGATTCTGTTGTGCATTTGCTGAGCCTAGCATCTCTTTGCTATGAATTTTGGACATGTCTGTGGAGTCTGATGCCATGTGTCTGCTGATGCCATATTTTGGTAAATTGCTACTCTAGTTAACATTGTGGCCTTATATGTGACCTGACACATCACTGATACCTCGTTCTTTGTTCAAACAGTATTGTAATGATGCCAACATATCCAGGTTATATTCTTTGAGACATTGTCAGTGGGAACAACTACAAATTTTGAGCTAAGAGTCAAATTCAAAACGGAAATGTTCCGTTTATTCAGTATGCAGGGAGAGCTCTGAACAGAATGCAGAGATGTTATGACGCACAGTAAACTATGCTTATGACGAACACGCTTAAAACGAACTGATGTGTTTTTTGGGATTCCGGCACTTTTTACATATTTTAGCAGAAATGCATATAACGATTCACGAAATACGGTTATAATGAACTATGGTTATAACGAGGTAAAATAAACGGCCCCTTCGTGTTTGTTATAACCGTAGTTTACTCTTATATGGAAAGAGTGAGTGAGTGAAAGTCTAATGTCGAACAGTCAAAGCCATATAGTGAAGATAACAGTTATGCTGATGAACATCTGACAGAGACGTCTTAGACAATTTGCTATCCTATAAACGAAGTATTTCAAATAATACAATATTCTCATCAACACATCGATCAATATCACATTCAATATTTACAAAATACGAGCAGTAGAACACTAGCAATCAAAACCTTACCATAGATCATAGGAACTTAAAGTACTTCAGCTTCCAGCATAAATCAAGGACTTTGGCCATAACTTTAGTAACTTTAGTTGTAGCCAATACTAGCCATAAATACAAAATTTATGATATACCCTTCATTGTCATCATGTAAAATAAACAAAGAAACAAACAAGCGGTAATATATTAATAAGAAGAATAATAATATAGAATCACCAAAAGGCATAAACTGTACATACGTTTGAATGGACCTTCCGGGGTATTTACAAAGTTTATGGATGTAATGTTTGTCACCATAGTCAAAAGAAATAGACTCAGATGGTGCAGGTGGAATGTTGCCGAATAAACGACACAGGTTATCGTCCTTTCATTCCGATACTAGTAGAGTAGCGAATCACATATGCAAATGGAAATCCAGACCATATTATTGATGAACTGGGATTGCTGATTTTGAGGGTGTGGGTTCGAATCCCAAATCTGTACTTTACTGAGAAAGTGTAATCCCAAATATAACATATGTATCATTTTGTGAATGTTTACCGAAAAGCGAAGATACAGAGACTGACTGATGCAAGACTAACACTTATGCCACTTGATGATCTACCAACGGAGGAATACCCCCCAGCGGCCTAATCTAAATCTTCATTAAACAGTATTTGTGAAACATTACAATATTAGTGTAGGATAAAAGTGAGAAGAACCAAGCAGCTTACAAACTTTCTCCGAGGTCAGGGTTGGACGTAGTGCCTACGGAAGGGATTGGTATTAAATACTTCTAGTCAGGTTTTGGGTCGAAAACTCTGTTAATAAAATTTAATTCATCCAATGTTAATATTTAACAGTACCATAAAGGTTAATTTTTTTATACCACCTGTCTCAGTTGGAAAAATACCAAAACTCCTAGAATAATCAAATAATGAACACATTCTCGGGTGACATTTCTACTTAAAAACAGTAACGTAGCAAATAGCAAAAAATAAGCAATTGGTATGATTTGTAACACACATTGACTATTGTAACTTTAAATCTCTGTAGTTACACTGAAACACAAAATATTGATTTATCAACTTTCGTAGTAGCACAGATATGTATTCTCTTCAGGAGTCATCATAACATGTTATATACATGCTTGAGCAGTGCCAGTTATATATCAGTCATACAACTGTTCAGACACCATGTTCACAACGTTCAGTCTTCAGTCCGGGGCAACTATCATCATGATGAAGAGGACCTTAGAAGATTCACAATGGCTTTGTTGAGGCATCTTTCTGCAATAGAGACATACTTCTCTAATCCCCGTTGACCCTGGCCGAATTGTTTCAAGGAAAGGAGGTGTTTCACTATAGACATGTTATCTCCGTAACATGCCAACATCAAGCAGTCACTGTTGCCTGTATCAGTCAGTGACAGATCAGCTCCCTCCGACACAAGAAGATTGTATACATCATAGTGTCCCTTTGAAGCTGCCATCATAACTGCTGACTGACCATCAGCATCCCCTTGCCTGTTGATGTCAAATGTTTCCAATGAAAGGAGATGTTTCACTATAGACATGTTACCTCTCCCACATGCCAACATCAAGCAGTCACTGTTGTATTTATCAGTCAGTGACAGATCAGCTCCCTCCGACACAAGAAGATTGTATACATCATAGTGTCCTTTTGAAGCTGCCATCATAACTGCTGACTGACCATCAGCATCCCCTTGCCTGTTGATGTCAAATGTTTCCAAGGAAAGGAGGTGTTTCACTATAGACATGTTACCTCCCCCACATGCCAATATCAAGCAGTCACTGTTGTATTTATCAGTCAGTGACAGATCAGCTCCCTCCGACACAAGAAGATTGTATACATCATAGTGTCCTTTTGAAGCTGCCATCATAACTGCTGACTGACCATCAGCATCCCCTTGCCTGTTGATGTCAAATGTTTCCAAGGAAAGGAGATGTTTCACTATAGACATGTTACCTCCCCCACATGCCAACATCAAGCAGTCACTGTTGTCTGTATCAGTCAGTGACAGATCAGCTCCCTCCGACACAAGAAGATTGTATACATCATAGTATCCTCTTGCAGCTGCCATCATAACTGCTGACTGACCATCAGTTCCCCCTTGACTGTTGATGTCAAATGTTTCCAATGAAAGGAGATGCTTCACTATAGATATTTTACCTCCCTCACATGCCAACATCAAGCAATCACTGTTGTATTTATCAGTCAGTGACAGATCAGCTCCCTCCGACACAAGAAGATTGTATACATAATAGTATCCTGTTGCAGCTGCCATCATAACTGCTGACTTACCATCAGCCCCCCTTTGCCTGTTGATGTCAAATGTTTCCAAGGAAAGGAGATGTTTCACTATAGACATGTCACCTCCCCACATGCCAACATCAAGCAGTCACTGTTGTCTGTATCAGTCAGTGACAGATCAGCTCCTCCGACACAAGAAGATTGTATACAGCATAGTGTCCTCTTGAGGCTGCCACCATAACTGCTGATTGATACCATATCCCCCATTGCCTGTTGATGTCAAATGTTTTCAAGGAAAGGAGATGTTTCACTATAGACATGTTACCTCCCTCACATGCCAACATAAAGCAGTCACTGTTGTATGTATCAGTCATTGACAGATCAGCTCCCTTCGACACAAGAAGATTGTATACATCATAGTGTCCTCTTGAAGCTGCCATCATAACTGCTGACTGACCATCAGCTCCCCCTTGCCTGTTGATGACAAATGTTTCCAATGAAAGGAGATGTTCCACTATAGACATGCTACTTGCCTCATATGCCAACATCAAGCAGTCTCTGTTGTATTTATCAGTCAGTGACAGATCAGCTCCCTCCGACACAAGAAGATTGTATACATCATCGTGTCCTCTTGAGGCTGCCATCATAACTGCTGACTGACCATCAGCTCCCCTTTGCCTGTTGATGTCAAATGTTTCCAAGGAAAGGAGGTGTTTCACTATAGACATGTTACCTCCCCAACTTGCCGACATCAAGCAGTCACTGTTGTATGTATCAGTCAGTGACAGATCAGCTCCCTTCGACACAAGAAGATTGTATACATCATAGTGTCCTCTTGAAGCTGCCATCATAACTGCTGACTGACCATCAGCTCCCCTTTGCCTGTTGATGTCAAATGTTTCCAAGGAAAGGAGATGTTTCACTATAGACCTTTTACCTCCCCTACTTGCCAACATCAAGCAGTCACTGTTGTATTTATCAGTCAGTGACAGATCAGCTCCCTCCGACACAAGAAGTTTGTATACATGATACAGTCCTCTTGAAGCTGCCATCATAACTGCTGACTGACCATCAGCTCCCCTTTGCCTGTTGATGTCAAATGTTTCCAAGGAAAGGAGATGTTTCACTATAGACATGTTACCTCCCCAACTTGCCGACATCAAGCAGTCACTGTTGTATGTATCAGTCAGTGACAGATCAGCTCCCTTCGACACAAGAAGATTGTATACATCATAGTGTCCTCTTGAAGCTGCCATCATAACTGCTGACTGACCATCAGCTCCCCTTTGCCTGTTGATGTCAAATGTTTCCAAGGAAAGGAGATGTTTCACTATAGACATGTTACCTCCCCCACATGCCATCATCAAGCAGTCACTGTTGTATTTATCAGTCAGTGACAGATCAGCTCCCTCCGACACAAGAAGATTGTATACATCATACAGTCCTCTTGAAGCTGCCATCATAACTGCTGACTGACCATCAGCTCCCCTTTGCCTGTTGATGTCAAATGTTTCCAAGGAAAGGAGATGTTTCACTATAGACATGTTACCTCCCCCACATGCCGACATCAAGCAGTCACTGTTGTATGTATCAGTCAGTGACAGATCAGCTCCCTCCGACACAAGAAGATTGTATACATCACAGTATCCTCTTGCAGCTGCCATCATAACTGCTGACTTACCATCAGCCCCCCTTTGCCTGTTGATGTCAAATGTTTCCAAGGAAAGGAGATGTTTCACTATAGACATTTTACCTCCCCTACTTGCCAACAACAAGCAGTCACTGTTGTATTTATCAGTCAGTGACAGATCAGCTCCCTCCGACACAAGAAGATTGTATACATCATAGAGTCCACTTGAAGCTGCCATCATAACTGCTGACTGACCATCAGCTCCCCTTTGCCTGTTGATGTCAAATGTTTCCAAGGAAAGGAGATGTTTCACTATAGACATGTCACTTCCCCTACATGCCAACATCAAGCAGTCACTGTTGTCTGTAGCAGTCAGTGACAGATCAGCTCCCTCCGACACAAGAAGATTGTATACAGCATAGTGTCCTCTTGAAGCTGCCACCATAACTGCTGATTGATAGCTAATCCCCCATTGCCTGTTGATGCCAAATGTTTTCAAGGAAAGGAGATGTTTCACTATAGACATGTTACCTCCCTCACATGCCAACATAAAGCAGTCACTGTTGTTTGTGTCAGTCATTGACAGATCAGCTCCCTTCGACACAAGAAGATTGTATACATCATAGTGTCCTCTTGAAGCTGCCATCATAACTGCTGACTGACCATTAGTTGCCCCTTGCCTGTTGATGTCAAGTGTTTCCAAGGAAAGGAGATGTTTCACTATAGACATGCTACTTCGCTCATATGCCAACATCAAGCAGTCTCTGTTGTATTTATCAGTCAGTGACAGATCAGCTCCCTCCGACACAAGGAGATTGTATATATCATAGTATCCTGTTGCAGCTGCCATCATAACAGCTGATTCGCAGAACATACTCTCTTGCCTGTTGATGTCAAATGTTTCCAAAGAAAGGAGATGTTTCACTATGGACATTTTACCTCCCTTACATGCCAACATAAAGCAGTCACTGTTGTTTGTATCAGTCAGTGACAGATCAGCTCCCTCCGACACAAGAAGATTGTATACATCATAGTGTCCTCTTGAAGCTGCCATCATAACTGCTGACTGACCATCAGCTCCCCTTTGCCTGTTGATGTCAAATGTTTCCAATGAAAGGAGGTGTTTCACTATAGACATGTTACCTCCCTCACATGCCAATATCAAGCAGTCACTGTTGCATTTATCAGTCATTGACAGATCAGTTCCCTCCGACACAAGAAGATTGTATACATCATAGTGTCCTCTTGAAGCTGCTATCATAACTCCTGACTGACCATCAGCTCCCCTTTGCCTGTTGATGTCAAATGTTTCCAGTGAAAGGAGATGTTTCACTATAGACATGTTACCTCCCCAACATGCCAACATCAAGCAGTCACTGTTGTCTGTATCAGTCAGTGACAGATCAGCTCCCTCCGACACAAGGAGATTGTATATATCATAGTATCCTCTTGCAGCTGCCATCATAACTGCTGACTGACCATCAGCTCCCCTTTGCCTGTTGATGTCAAATGTTTCCAAGGAAAGGACATGTTTCACTATAGACATGTCACCTGCCCCACATGCCAACATCAAGCAGTCACTGTTGTTTGTATCAGTCAGTGACAGATCAGCTCCCTCCGAAACAAGAAGATTGTATACATCATAGTATCCTCTTGCAGCTGCCATCATAACTGCTGACTTACCATAATTTCCCCCTTGCCTGTTGATGTCAAATGTTTCCAAGGAAAGGAGGTGTTTCACTATAGACATTTTACCTTCCTGACATGCCAACATAAAGCAGTCACTGTTGGATATATCAGTCAGTGACAGATCAGCTCCCTCCGACACAAGAAGATTGTATACATCATCGTGTCCTCTTGAAGCTGCCACCATAACTGCTGATTGATAAAACATCCCCCATTGCCTGTTGATATCAAATGTTTCCAAAGAAAGGAGATGTTTCACTATAGACATGTTACCTCCCATACATGCCATCATCAAGCAGTCATCGTTGTCTGAATCAGTCAGTGACAGATCAGCTCCCTTCGACACAAGAAGATTGTATACATCATAGTGTCCTCTTGAAGCTGCCATCATAACTGCTGACCGACAATAAGCTCCCCCTTGCTTGTTGATGTCAAATGTTTCCAAGGAAAGGAGGTGTTTCTCTATAGACATGTTACCTCCCTTACATGCCAACATAAAGCAGTCACTGTTGTCTGAATCAGTCAGTGACAGATCAGCTCCCTCCGACACAAGAAGATTGTATACATCATAGAGTCCTCTTGAAGCTGCCAACATCACTGCTGTTTTATCCTTCCTTCCTCCTCGCATGTCTAGCTTTAAGATTTCACACGTCAGCAAATATTTTACAACTGATACATGACCTTTGCTGCAACCTATGTGAAAAGAGTTTATCTTGGCATACTCAGTCGTGTTAGTTAAATCTGCTTTGTGCGAAACAAGAAGTTTGAGGATTTCCACCTGCCCTGATTCAGCACATAAAATAGCGGGAGTAACTCCATCTTCGTCACCAACATTGATCAGATGTTGAGACTGTTTAATGAGAACGTTTACTATATCTTTGCTTCCTGATTTACATGAAAAATGAAGACAATTGCAATGTCGATTGTCTGTCGCTGAAACATCAGCTCCCTCTTTCAGTAGGAAGTTGAACACATCCAACTGTCCTGCCTCAGCAGCAACCATCAGCAGTGTTTTGTGGTCTTTTGTCCTCCTGTCAACATCAAAACTGTCAAGCTGTTTGAGTGCAGCAGCAGTACGTTGAAGATACAGTAGATTGCCACTCTGTATACAGCCTATGATACTATCGTAGAAGTCAGTGACAATAGAATTTGAAAGGTACGTCTCTCTACACATCAGTGACACCGAGTGTTCAAACAGTGAATGGTTAGTTGAAACTGAGACCCAATACAGAAAGCATTCACCGGATTTCGTATCTTTTCTGTGAACAATCTCGGGCAGGTCTGGCATTATTTGTGTCAAGAAGGAGGAGGCTATTTGGACGTTGCTGAATATAGAGTGGCCAACTGTCCATCTGAAACACCCTTCTCGGACACCTTGCACCAGTCTGGAGATCACTAAAGGATGTAGACTGGAAGTGATGTAGATCATGTTTGTGACATCATCAGTGTGGGTTGACTGAAAGCTGGCATCCCTGTTAAGTCTGACTCTTTCATATAGCAACTGCAGAGAACAATGTTCCAGTAACAACTCTTCATTGAGATGGCCCAAAGCACATGCTGCAGCGTCGTGGATGGATGGATGAGAGAAGGAGGCAACATGATTCTCCACTGTACAGTAGGTGCCGATAAAGTTGCGGATCTCCTTACCGATGTCTGTACGATTGCAAGACGCTATCTCCTCCTTTACAACCTGAAACAATGCTGCACATTTTGTCCCCGACTTGAAGGAGACAAGGTCCAACTTCCCCCCACACAGGACGAGGAGAACGAGAGCTGCTGATCTGCTGCTACCTTCACGGATAATGGTGTCAAGGTCACCTCTAAGATAGGACACAGGGTTCTGAAAGAAGTAAGTGATTTTGTGTATCTGGAAGGCTGGGTTGGTACAGTAAAGTTGACAGATGAGTGGAAACCCAAACACGTTCTCATGTAACTGTGTAATTGTGTTCTTGTCCTGACTGGAGATATCAAACATGTGATTTCTTTTCCAGAAGGAATTTATTATAGATTCCTTTTCCTTAGTAGTCAGAGTAGTTGTGGTCATATCAATAACACTCACAGGGTTGAAGAGGTTAATTTTAAACTGGTGAAGTCTGTTACATCCTTCATTCCAGTTGTATGTTCTAGATGTGAAGATGAAGCGGAGTTTGTAGAGGCTTTTGAATCATCATCACCTAAAGTCTCATTCTTCTTGTCTGCATTCAATTTTTTCAGCTCTCTCTTCCTCTTGTCCTGTTGCTCCTTCTGGACTGAGATGTTTACTATATCATCAGCCAGGGCGGTCAACACTTTCTTGATTTTCTGCAGATAGGATGGAAATGCTACAGAACCAAACATATCATCAAACACAATCAGCATGTCACACTGTCGTTGAATTATTGTATCTACTTGAAACTCTTCAAGATTTTCAACAAACACAACTTCATATTTCTTTTGCAGATATTTCTCACATATCTTGAGAGCAATGCTTGTTTTCCCATCGCCAGGAGCTCCACAAACTGCCACATGGTTGTGTTTTTTTCAGGAGTTCTTCTGCTGTGTGGAGTGTGTGAATTCCCTCAAACACTTCATTCAGCTGCTTGATCCTGATGCTAAGAGATGCTGAAAACAAGAACACCAGAAACTAGAGGACGTCTTCCCAGAAATTGTAACACCAGATGGATTTGGTGTTTAAGTAAAATAGATGCATAATTATACATACAATCTACAATACATTTTCACATAAGGCTAGGGACTAAACAAAAAGCAATATATTTTAATTTTTTAAATATTTCTTCTCCAATAAAACTAGTAACAACATCAATGTACAAAGTATGCTAACTTACAGTTAGGTTCATTCCTAATCGGGTCCTACTGAAGACAGAAGATGCTGCACAGTTATGGGAGACATGTTTAGGCTGTGAGTGACCCTTCACTATTAGTTACCTTGTGATACACAGCCACGATGTCCGGGATTCCCCAATGAAGTGTGAGATGAGTTGGACAGATCATACTGGGATACAGAACAACCTGGAACAAGAAACAAAATTTGAATGCGTTGAGCAGGTGAGAGTGGAATACTGAACAATCTGGAACAAGACAACACCGTTGAAGGACTTTGACAGGTCACACTGCGGTACAGAACAATCTGAAACATGAAAACAACGTTGAGTGACGTGGACAGGAATTGCTGAGATACTGAACAACCTGGAACAAGCAAACTGCTGACTATGTTCTTAAAGTGTGCTTTCAGTTTTGGAAAATTGATCATGGTAAATTGTGATCAATCAGAGCTATCAGACGGAATGACAACGAACAATAACACAGGACCTAAGCCCAAACAGACATTAAACATTTTAATAACAGTATGTGTGAAGATGATCAATATTTTTTAACATATGAAACCAGAATGTTCTTTAATCGCTATCCTTTAACTAACTTACATCACATTTCATTCTAGACTTTGATTAAGTCCTGTAGGATGTGTAAATATGCTTGACCACATATCAGAGATATACTATATTGAGAGAAATCTAGAGTAGAACCAGTCCTATTTTGTATTTAACTTGGCAGACACTCTATCCAAGTACAGTGGCAGCCATCATGATGGGGAAAGTATGCTCCAAAAACAAGGAGACAGTGATGGTAGGGGAAGATTTACCGATGTAGTTGTGTGTTATTGGAGAACTGGATTGAATTCCCTGTCGCTGGTTCTCCTCCATTACCGCCGGAGGGTCTGTTCGTTGTAAGGCCATAACACCTTCATGAATTGGGTTGAATTGCATCCCCTCCTGTTGGCTCCCTTCTATTACCACCGGAGTGTCTGTTGATGGTACGGCGATAACACCTTCTTGTGTTGAGGAAGGGTTGAATTGCATACCCTGCCGTTGACTCCATTTTCTTACCACCGGAGTGTCTGTTGATGGTAAGGCCAAAGCATCATCTTGTGTTGAGGAAGGGTTGGGTTGTCTCCCCTGCTGTTGACTCCCTTCTATTACAGCACCATCTTGTGTTGGCGACAGTGTGGAGTGAATGTCCTGGTGTTGGTTCCCTTCAATAACAGACTGTGTGCCTGCTGTTGATCCTGCCACCGCGCCATCAAGAGTTGATGTCGATGGGGACTGTATGCACTCTGTCGCATCTGGAAAGTTTGTCAGTGGTCCAGTTTCCATTCTTCATGAGACCATTCTGTAAATGAAGTCAATAGTTTATCATATGTCTATGTATTTCTCAATAAATATTGTCATTAAAAGTTAAAATTACAACCAGAAATAATCGGACATGACAAGGTTCATCTTTTTCAGGCTCACAAATTCAGATACGCCAAATAAGTTTACGTTTGAGGGTAATAATGAACATGGTCAAATTTAAAACTCAAAATCATGCTAGTGGTTAGAGCGTCCGCCCGGAGAGCGGAAGGTCGCGGGTTCGATCCCCGACCGCGTCATACAAAAAAGACGTTAAAATATGGTACTTGTTGGTCCCTGTCTGGCGCTCGGCATTAATGGGTACAACAAGGACTGGTCGGCTCGGAGTCAGTATAATGTGTCTGAGTGGGGTATTCATGCTTCACTGTGGCATGGGCTAGCACTATAAAACTAGCGGAAGTCTGGGCTTGTACAAGCAGCCGCAGATACACATACACAGGCATGCACGTCGTCATATGAGCGAAATATTCTCAAGCATGACGTTAAACCCAATTTCACCTCACCCCTCCTCAAAATCATGCAAGATGAAAATCGAAATGATTAAATAAACATATATGGTAATGTCCAGGAGTATGCAGGAGAAAATTCTGACCCTATTTTTTTCATTTTCATCCACCAAATTGACAATTAATACGTATGAGTAGATTTTGCAAAGGCGGCCAAAGAGCTAGCAAGTTTGAGATCGCTTGGGCCACTAAGTTTTCAGCATGACCAACACCAGGCTTGGACATATGCAAACCGCCACATAGCTTCATAGATCTTAACATCAACGCCAGGAAATTACCAGTTATGAAGATCTGCTGAAACAAAACAACCATCTTACAAAGTATACCGATTGATAGGCCACTTTGCAAAAACTTGGGAAAGACACTCGACATAGAATTGGCTGCCTTAGGTCACGTGTCTGATTTTGACCAATCACGACCTTTATAGCAGACTGTAGCGAAAAAGCGTCATTAGAAACCAATCTTTATCCAATAAAATCGCTTCTTACAACTGTGAAAATACTCTCGGCAAGGGTACAGTGATATTGTTGATGTTCAAAGCTTTCGAACGATGCCCGACATGAAACGATTTGCCGCGCATGTTATTCATACGAAGCTTCGAAAACGGAGGTATTTTCAGTTGTTATGTCATTTTACCGAGCGGAAAGCCACAGATATCGGGAAATAGGCGACCATACATATTGTTTAAGTAATCTTTTTATAATAATTTTCTGATTACGTAAAAATGAAAATATAAAAGAAAAAGGCACGGTCATTTTATGACATGTCACAAATGGAAAAAATCGCCATAGTTTTTGCTTCTTTCGTGGTTTATCTGGACGTTATAAATGTAAGCTTGCATTTTCATTCAAGTATAAATTTATTTAAGTTGTAGTTGTATTATTTGAATAATATTATAAAAATAAACTTCATATTTATCAACAGTAGGATTAGATCTTTTAAATGGTGTATGGGATGTAGTAGCAATAACGTTTTACAAGCTTATAATTTCCTTCATAAACATAGGCTGCATCTATGACCTCAGAGTCTCTGGGAACTCGGTGTCATGGCAGTAAATGCCTCTGGTTGACTGGTGTTGAAAGAGCTAAACAATAATATTGAGATAACAGTTGACAGCAACAGTTCAGTCCAAGGCACGGAGACAGAGCATAAAACAACATTAAACATGAACAACTTGCAGAGATACTGTCATTATGTACGCCCGCTCCACCCGTCCATACAACCAGGAAGTAACCAGTATTCTACGTCCGTCCTCGTACAAGAAGGGGGAGAACTCGTGCAGTAACAGTCCATTATATTTCCACATCACCACAGTCGTGGACAGGTTAAAATCGGGGCTCAATTTACACTCTTGTGTTCCAAGTTATATGTTTCATTTTCTAGTTATCGTTACGTTACCATATGTTGGGACACGCTAACATAATCTTTGCATGTTAATGTTGGATACCTTTATTCTAACAATCGTAGTCTAAGATCTATCCATGGGATACAAAAGTCATCTTTACAATACAGTGCATTGAGAAAGGTAAAAAATCGATGAATGTCACTCGACTGATGCAGCTGAGAATAATTACAATAGAATTTGTTTTCAAGACTTATTTTCATCTTCATAATTGTCGCTGTAGTATATCAAAGAGGTTTCATTCCTTTATATATATGCGAATGTTATAACTATGAGAACTACTCATACAACTACGGTGTTATGGTTCTAGTTTTGCTGTTCATTAATGTCAACTTTGCTCGTTAACTCTCACGTTTTTTGGCTGCAAATGTTGACTTTAGAAAATATGACATCTTCAAGATGCTTGTTTTTAAATGCTTTATAAATGATTTGATTCCAGAGGTTTACTGTACATCTCCTTTCCGTGGAGGGCTGATATGAGAGCGTGTGGCTTTGAACTCAAGTGTTTGGTCACCAGTAACAGTTAAGTCATGACATGTTCGTAACACTAGAAACTAAACAATAACATTAAGACAGCAGTCTACAGAAACAGTCCTGTCCCAAGTGTGGGAGAATATTTAACAGCATGCGAAAATGAACAACTTACAGAAAAAATCTCACTGTGTGCAGGCCGTCCATCCGTCCAGAGTTTTAAAGATACGAAGAATAAGGAATAGGAAGGCATAAATTCCATTATTATTGGCTAGGATTAATGTGTACCGATAGTTGCCTTGATTTGCCAAACTATCAAAACAGATACACAATTGTCAGTAAGGGGAGTCCTGTAAATTCGACCTTTCGTCAGTACATTTCTGGTACTGAATAATGTAACAGACATGTGTTCTGTCTTACCTCCCTTCCAAAGTCAGTAATAGGTAGTGCACTATTGATGATATCCAAGTGCCCATAAGCCCGACAGCTTTCGCTTTAACAGGAATTGCCCGGAAAACTATTTATAGCTTATGACTCACTTTGTCGCTGGGCGTTCAGGCCCCGATTTCTCGAAAAAACTTAAGTTTTTACTCAAATTTCAAACTGAGTTTGACAATTTGAAACAGCTGATTTCTTAACTCAACTGCATTTTTTAAGATAAAAAGGCCCAAACAACTTAAGTAGCCTATCTACCCAACTCAAATTGTCAACTATGTTTGAGTGTAATATCGATTTCAGTTCATTGTGGAAAATGCATTTTCCTGCTTTTTCTCAAATTTGAGTAAAAACTCAGACTTAAGTTTGTTTCGAGAAATCGGGGCCAGGTGATTACAAGGCATGACGACCTGAGCTGGGATACATGAATTGCAATTGTCAATAGAAATAAGCCACTCACGGCGAGAGATTCAAATCTTGAATAAACCTATACAGACTTGTCTATATTTAATAACTAGATGTTTAAGATAAGACGAATGAAAAATATGAAGATGATAATTCCACCATTTTTGTTTGGGGTTAATGTTTTCCCTAGTTGCCTTGATTTATCAAACTATCAAAACAGATATACAGTCGTTATTTACTAACTATTGACTAAATTTCTGTTACTGATTAATCTGTAAAATAATGTTATAAATCGAAAGTACATATACAGTGTATGAAAGACACATTCAATGATCCCTCAAAGTCATTACCGGATTAACAACCTGAGCCAATTCATTCCACTTGTCAGAAGCCATGCAATAAACAGATGCTTAACTGAACATTTGTAAATATCATAGATATATCTTGAGGTTGCCCCTGAACATATCTTTAACATTATTTTGACACTTTAAAAAAAACCCTCCAAACTCACAAACTTGCATTAAAACATTGTTTATGAACGTTTATGAACAGGAAATAAGAGGAAAATAAAATATCGGAATAATGGAACATGAAACACCATTCCGAACTATGAACACGCAAAACACCGAATACCCCACAGAAACAATAAATGCTCACAGACCTGGTTTATGAAAACAAACGTAGTAAATCTAGATGAGTTAGATAGCTATAATTGATACTAATATTGATGTTGACTAATATTGACAAATGTCTTCTGTACTTAGACTTATTACATAAAAATATTATTGTTAATACCTAATAAAGGAAAACGATAAAATCTGCAATTCCTAAATGTCAAAGAAATTTGAAGAAATTAATGTACACTGAATAGATATATATTAATCTCTTTAACGTTTTTACAAACATTTAGATGTATACATTTGGAAATAAAACACTAAAAGCTCGGAATAATTACGACCACAGAATATGTTTTCAACAAATTCATTTCATCGTCATAATTGTGTAGTATATGAAAGAGGTCTCATTCGTTTATGAAATACAGCAATGAGTGATTGTTAAAACTATTAGAATCATTCAGGAATAGAGTTATCGTTCAAGTCTGAAGTAGTTCTGCTGTTCATTAGCCAACATTAAATCCTTCAGCTTGGCTTGTAATAACACGAATTGGTCACGAATGAAATGCAGCTCGTCAACTCTACACTGTGACGTCAGGTCACATAATAGCAACTCTAGTCTAGTTTCCGGAACACGAGTACTTTTTTTAGAAGACTATTGGCATTATAAAAAACAGCATCTTCAAGATGCTTGTTTTTATATGCTTTATAAATGCTTTGGTTTGAGTTTTACTGTACATCTCCTTTACGTGGAGCGTTGATATCAGAGGGTGTGCAGTAGCTTTGAAGACAAGTGTTTGGTCTCCGGTAACAGTTAAATCATGACATGTTCGTAACACTGGAAACTAAACAATAACATTAAGACAGCAGTCAACAGAAACAGTCCTATCCCAAGCATGGAGACAGTGGGAGAGTATGTAACATTGAATAAGAACAACTTACAGTGAAACTCTGATAGTGTGCGGGCGGTCCACCAGTCCATACAACCAGGAAGTTATCCGGGTTCTACTTTCGTTATCGTGTATAAAGGGGGACAACTCGTACAGCAACAGTCTATTATATATCGACATCACCTTATGTTGTGGACAGGTTAAAATCATGGTTCTCGTCAACACTCTTCTTTAATACTTTGTTTCAGTTTGTATTCCATATTTGGTTACCGACTTCAGGCACAAACTATCCTAATCTATGTATGGCATTTTCATGGATCCGAGGGTCAGGTCAATTCATTGGATTCCTATGGCATGCTTGCCGCATGGTTTGACTGTTAATCACATTAGGCACTGTATGGGCACACCTATCGGCTTACAGTTTGTAAAACATGACAGCCGATTGCGAAAACCTTTAATGTTTTTCATAGAAGACAGGTGTACTATTTGACATCGAACATGTAATACACGCGTTTACTGTATAACCAAGATATATCACAGTATTTAATTTATGATATACCTGTTTTAGACACAGTAGTCCTTGTCATACTCAACGTCGTCAGTAGCCTGTTGGTGGAGAACGTTCAGCAACCTAAAACCATACCCACAATTCTTACTGATAGGTTCATTGTTAATGTCACTTTTCAGATCATTGTTCTTTTCATTGCTCCGTTCATCGTTCAAATCATTGTTCATGTCAATGTTCAGTTCATTAAAGATGTCACTCTTTTCATTTCCCTGTTCATGCCTCCTTTGCAGCCACGCCCATGGTTGAACGTGAAATAAGTAACTGAAAGAGATACGGCTGACAGACTGAAATATCCCCAATGACCTGAATTGTCATCCTCGATAATCTCCAGGGTATACGCTACGATAGCTCTCCACTATACCCTGGATGCATCTACGGCTCGGCCTGATGATTTTTTACCTCCCTTGGCTGGCTTTACATCCAATCAGGTGTCTACGCTTAGGAAGTTGGAGCGTACTCAATCAAGCAACTCACTTTCGCTTTTAAATGATCTAATCAATCAAACTTGTCAAAACAATAATATATTGCTGCAGATACTCCGGAAAGAAGCAGTTCTTGCAATATATATATTTAAGGTTTCAGACCTGCGAGTTTGTTCATGTTTTCCCCAAAACTGAGTCGCACTGCGAATAAACCTTGGCATGGCTGCCACCAGCTATTTTTTGTTGACACTGGCAAGCTCAGGCTGTAACGGCGGCTTATCCTCATTGGCTAGAGGAGAAATGCGTAGCCAGCAAAGGAGGTAATAAATCATCGGACTTAGGTAGATTCATCCAGGGTATAGTGGAGAGTTACCGTAATGTATACCGGGAGATTATGGAGGATGGTGAATTGTAAGCACAGTGTTTAACTTTCAAGTTGATCGGTTGTGTGTGTATCCATCCATTAACACACACAAACATACACACACGCACGCAGGCGCATCCATCCATCCATCCATCCATCCATCCATCCATCCATCCATCCATCCATTAACACACACAAACATACACAGACAGACAGACATACACACACACACACACACACACACACACACACACATATACACATATTACATACACAGTTTTAGTCCAAGAGGTCCACCCGGCGAAGCACATTGATGAGCGATTGACAGCAGTACAAGTATTGAGTCCCATTGGGTACTTTTTGATAGCCCCTCGTACATACATTCGATAACGATGAATGTTCTCGACTTTAAATTACTAAATGGCTGTTGTCTGAAACACTGAAAATTAAATAAGAAGCCGCTTTTACAAAATTAATGCTTTACTTTCAGACGACGACCCGACAAAGAAGATTAATCAAGAAGGGCAGGATGAGACACACTACGCCAAAATGCGGCAGCGTACATTCCGTTTCGAACTCCACTCCCAGGTCGTTACATCCTGGTTCCTTCATTGCAGGCGATCGTGAAGGACACAGAGACGTCCTAGCACGGCGTGTTCGCCTTATCTAATGCCCTACTGGTAAACTTCCATTCAACGGGTAAAACAACCAGTATGATGTCTTAGGTAATACTCCAAAGACAAACACACACCACCCCGTCTTTACCTCCCTTTGTGTGCATCCCTGCAATTTGCCTTTCAGAGATTCTGTAGAATTTATGACGTAATAACTTCACGTATACGTGCATTAATGCCATCATGATTTCACGTTGAAGAAATGCCCTTATGATTTCACGTTGCATAAATGCCATTATGAATTCACGTTGCATAAATGCCATTATGATTCACATTGCATAAATGCCATTATAATTTCACGTTGCATAAATGCCATTATGATTTCACATTGTATAAATGCCATTGCGATTTCACGTTGCATAAATGCCATTATGATTTCACGTTGCATAAATGCAATTATGAATTCACGTTGCATAAATACCATTAGGATTTCACTTTCGATAAATACCATTATGATTTCACGTTGTATAAATGCCATTATGTTTTCACGTTGCATAAATGCCATCATGTTTTCACGTTGCATAAATGCCATCAAGATTTCACATTGCATAAATGCCATTATGATTTCACATTGTATAAATGCCCTTATGATTTCACATTGTATAAATGCCATTACGATTTCACGTTGCATAAATGCCATCATGATTTCACGTTGCATAAATGCCCTTATGATTTCAGGTTGTATAAATACCATCAAGATTTCACATTGCATAAATGCCCTTATGATTTCACGTTGCATAAATGCCATCAAGATTTCACATTGCATAAAGGCCCTTATGATTTCACATTTCATAAATGCCCTTATGATTTCAGGTTGTATAAATGCCATCAAGATTTCACATTGCATAAATGCCCTTATGTGTTCACGTTGTATAAATGCCATTATGATTTCACTATGGATAAATGCCATTATGATTTCACAATGCATAAATGCCATCAAGATTTCACATTGCATAAATGACCTTATGTT